CGAAAAGACAAAAACACCCGTTGGATATACACATATATATTCCTAAAATTCCATCGTGATTTCACACTTTTTATATTTTCTCTTCAATTTCTTTTTCCTTTTTGTTTTCATTTTTGGAAAAGAAAAATTTTCTTTCTTGGCTTCTTTCTCTCAATTTTTCTTTCTCTCAATTTTTCTTTCTCTTTCTCTCTCTCTCTCTCTCTCTCTCTCTATTTTTCGTTTGCGTTATCTCATTAAGAATGAAATAGATACAATGTTAATACTGACAATGAATTTGTAATTATTTCCCTCAAGATCAATAATATCAAATCTCAATAATGTATGAGAAAAGAAAATTCATCCCTTATCATCAATGCATGAATAATAATTTTATACTTTTTCTCTTTTTGTTTTCTTTTTAAAAACGAATAACTTTCTTCTCCCTCTCTCTCTCTCTCTCTCTCTCTCTCTCTCTCTCTCTCTCTCGCTCTATTTTTTCTCATTAATAATAAAAGATTTAAAAAGAAGGAAAAAAAAACAGTAACAGCAGCAAACAGAAAATATTATCATTGACTTAGCAATTATCCTTGAATCGATTCGTGAATCGATAATATCGAATTAACATGTATAAGAAGAAAGATAGATAGATAGAAAGAAAGAGAGAGAGAGGGGGAGAGAGAGAGAGAGAGAGAAAATGTAAAAGAAAATTAATAAAGATCCTTTCCATGCTTGATAAAATTTACTGATGCTTTCTTTCTCCATTTTGAAATGAAATTTTCTTCGATCCAAAATGTCTCATAGGGGATAATAGGATTAAATAGTTTCTAAAGAAAATGATATAACGTTATTAACTTTTATGTTTTTTTCTTTTTTTTTTTTTTTTTTTTTCGTGTGATTATAAAAACGTAAGACGTATTTGATATAAAAATTATTAAATATCATATAAAAGAGCATAAGAATGCAAACTATACTTATGTATACGTATATTAACATGAAATTAAATTGTTTTTAACTCACCACTTGGTGGCCTGATGTGAACACCTAAATTGAGAGCTTGAAGCTTCGCTACGGCAACTTTGCATAAAACTTTTCTTTCTATTTCTGAGAGAGAACGCAAAGAAGTATCCTGGAGAGTCACTCGTCGTCCACCTGTGCCAGCCCACGTGCATTTTCCCTACAATGTATATATAGATTCTATATAAACACATGCTGATATATATACACATATATATATATATATGTATATAATATATGTATATAGATGTATATGAAGTTCAAAAAACTTGAAGAATTTTATTCTTTCAAAAGAGAAAATTCTTTAAGAAAATTTTCTATAAACTCAATTATTATTAATCACTTTGAACTATTCATAAATAATATAAATATGCAAATAAATATGTAAATATATAAATGTATTTTAATATTTAATTAATATATATGTGAAAAATGAAAAAATGTATTTATGTGAGAAAAACTTTTCAAGATAAATCTTCAAACGATATCATTTTCAATCGATCACTTTATATTATTCTTATATAATAATAATAATAAATAATGATAATAAATAATAACAATATATAGACATTAAAGTACATAGATATATACGTATGTACTTTTAATTTAATATATATATATATATATATATATATATATATATATATATATATGAAAAATGAAGAATTGAATTTTTGTGAGAGCTAATATTTTTTAACAAAATTTTTCAAGTAATCTAATTTTCAATTGATCACTTTTAATAACTCTATATATACGTAAATAAATAATACAAATATATACATACATACATATATATATATATATTTTTTTTTTTATTAAATTTAATTAAATTTGATGGAATAAAGAACATTTGATAAATCAAACCAATAAATTCAAATTTAATTAAAATAGAATCATAAGCTCATTAATAATTAATGATAATATTTTGAAAATATATTCATAAAAGTTTCAGAGCGATGGAATTTGCTGATCAGAATAAAATATCAAAGAGTGATTTGGTTTATCAACATGTAAACGTTAGAAAGAATAACTATAGGGTAATCTAATAAAACCCTATGTGTGAAAAAAAAAACAACAGAAAAGAAAAGAAAAAAAGAAAAGAAAGAAATAAAAAAAATTAAATTATAATAATCTTATTTATATTATAAATTATAACGAATAAATTTTAATATAAATAATACGACGACTTTTCTTCTATTTTGCAAATAAAAAGACAAATAAAAGTCTACTCTTAATTCTTTCGGAATAAAAAATAAAAGAAATAAATTGATTCCTCATATCCCTGAATCTAATCGTCCTAATCGTTAATAACTTTTCTTCTTTCAAAAATATATGTTGTCTAAAAATTATCTCCCTTTCGCAATATTATCATCAAATTTTAATGACAACATTTATTATAGATAGAGTCGTACAGAGTGGAATTAGTAAAAAAAAAAAAAAAAAAACAAAAAAAAAAAAAAGAAAAAGAAAAAACATTTTTTTAAATTTATTCAATAATTGCTATAACTTTTGCACTTTGTGACGTCTGTCCAATGTCGATCAATCAAATGTATTCTATAATTTTATTAAAGCTTTGGTTAATCAACAATGATCTTCGATATTTATCAATACACGTTACAACACGTTGTCCTATTCGCAAGTATAATAACTGTATTAACCCATTATTTATCAAGTGAATTGATGCGCAGATGATGCATACAATATTAAATCTCGAATGTAAACAAATCTTTGAACGTGACACTATCAAACAGGTGGATTGACCGTAATGATGCAATACATTAACTAGCTAAATCACCTGTTATGTTATTCCTTGAAGATTCGTCAAATGACACTCTTAGCGACAGACATTAATGATTTTAAAGGCAAGAATTGCAGATAACATTTATATTAGAATTTATATGAAAACGTTGCAACGTACGTACGTTATTATATTTTCAAAGAAAATTATTATATTAATGAAGGATACTTTTTCGATAATACGGACTTTTGAAAAATTATTATTTAATAATTCAACACGTGTATACAGATCCTAAAAATAAATACGTACAAGTGTTAACTTTTGAACACCATGTATTATTAAACGTTACTTTTGTACTACTAAGTATTGAAAGGATAAACTGATAAGAAACAAACGGATAAGAAACAAACAAAGTTTTTAAGAAGAAAGAGAAAAAGAGAAAGGGAAAGAGAGTAAGAGAGAGATTTAATCCAAACAAAAAGAATGGAAGGCACGTGGAAAAATTTCTGTAAAGTTCCGTAACACGTGAGATCTCGTCACTAAATATTTCTTATACAGGAGGTATTACTCATAAAATGAGTCACTGCCAAAATCCATTTTGCATTGGACGATCTATCAAACGATTTCGCTACTTTCCTGTCATCGAATATGTAAATATCTAGATACAGGTATGCGTATCAATAACGATACAAATACAAAATTGATACAACAAATGGATCACTATGAAATTTTTTTTTTCAGACTCTAACGACGGTTGCCTCTATTTGTTTTTTTTTTTTTTTTTTTGAAAGAATAAAAATTCTTTCAGAAAAAGAAATCGATATATATATATATATATATATATATATATATATATACGCACACACATGTACACGCAATCGGAGTACCATATATAGGATTAAATTAAAACAAAATCTTTTCTGATAAATTTTAAGGCTAATTGAAAAATTGATTTTGTCAAAATGATTTTTGATTCACTCGCAAAAGTGACCAGGATAAATCTTGAAAGAAGTAATACTCGAGTAAAGTAAATATTGTAGATAATATACCCGAGGATGTAGCGAGCAAGAAAAAAAAAAAAAAAAAAAAAAAACGAATATTAGTGGCGACGAAGTGATGTGTAATAATAATAATAGTAGCAGCAACAGTAACAGAAACAGTAATAGCAGTAGTAGTAGCAACAGTAGTAGTAGTAAAAGTAATAGTAGTAGTAGTAGTAGTAGTAGTAGTAGTACTAGTAGTAGTAGTAGTAGTGGCAGCAGAGGTTAAGTATAGTTTATACACACCACCGTTGGCTGACTATTTCGGGCGGCGCCGGCAAAATTCCGAGGCCCTAAATTGGTTATCGCGCTAACCGCTTAACAAGATCGTCTGCGGCAAGGTCAACCTTCTTATTCTTCTCCTTTCCTTCCTTTCCCTTTCCTCCTCGGTCATTCCAACCGTTTACTCGGTCACGAAGAAGAAGAAGAAGAAGAAGAAGAAGAAGAAGAAGAAGAAATAGAAAGAAAAACGATTGGACGGTATCTGAACGAGCAACCAATATCGGTAAAAACTTTTTTAATAAATGTCCTAGACCGATAAAGATTCGATTATGAATGTGAATATAAATAATGTGAATCTGTGAATGATTTATAATCAAGTAATAGATAGAGAAAATAAGTTTCTACGCATTTCGAAGCATATTGAAAAGTTGCTGTTAAACACTCAAACGCACACACAGACACACATATGTTTTGTACTAACCCCGTCATTCCTCTTTATAAATTGCTATGCAAATTTGACTCATTGGTGAGATTGTCGAACATTTGAAGGATGTATATTCCAATTGCGGATTGTTAATAATAATAGATTATTCATTGGTTATCTCTCTGATAACGTAAGGAGCTTGATATTAGTCTGTGTAGGTATGTGACGGCAGGTAGTTGTTGTATTCAGGTGAAAAATGAGTTTCTGGATATTAGAATAGGATGTCTTCGATGGTTAGGACCTAAAGATGGAAAGATTTCATTGATAATATTAGTGGAAAAAAGGTTAAATTTGCCTGTTAAAAACCATACGAATTAACGTTAATCGAAAGGACAATTGGGTAACTGACCTGAGGCGTCCAAATGGACGGTAGGTTCGATGCCCTCGAGGTACTTTTACTCCTGGACCTCCAGATTTTTTTAGCTACCAGCCTGCTACCGTGATGTACCACACTGCTGGAAGACTTGCTCTTCTGCATCGCTGTGCCACCTGAAGAATTTTTCGAAGAAGATGTGAGTGCCGGTGAACCTGGTGCCGAATGCGGTTTGTCCTTGTGAGCATTGGAGCCATGAAGGAGATGGGAAAGAAAGGATTGATGATGATGTTTGGGAGTTAGGGGTTCTTCCAAACCAAGACCAGCATCGATGCTGCTACGTGAACTTGCATTTCTACTTGCTGGCGAGGTTGTATCAGCGTCCGAAAGATTTTCAGACGGATTTTCCATGGATGACATTTCACGATAATTAACAGCCCAATTGTCATCGGTCTGACAACCTTTATTATTGCCATCGTCGTCGCCAGGCTTAGTAATCTCTCCCTTTGGCCTGATATTACGAAGATTTCTATCATAATTAACACGTTTGAACCTATCGACCTTATCAGCATCCATAGACTTTTTCCTAGCCATTCTGAGATACCTCTTAATGGTGTCACTAACCGATGGCGAGACATCGTCATTATCAACGCTACTACGTCTACGACCACTGAGTTTAGGTATACTCGTTTCACTTTTACTACTGTCCTCCTTCTCTCTTTCAAGAAGTATAGCGTCTAAAACCTCACGCGGAACTGGATCAGTTTGTACACCATCGTCCAGTGGTCCACGATCTGTGCTAGGTTCTTGAACAGCTATAAGAGGTGGTGGAGATATAGGATCGCGTCTTTCCGAGTACCAATCTTCATTCTCTTTGCCTGTGGTCCTGGTTCTCTGATGAGCCCACCATCTATTCGATGGTGATGTGTAAGCACCGGTTGCTCTTGGTCCTCTAAAGCCTCTGGTACATCTAAGATCAAAGTAAAGCTTTTCCAATAGCTTACGATCAGTCAGGATGTCTGATATTACGTGTTCTCTAGTCGGAGACTTGCTATAGTAACGACTGAGAGTCTCCATCAAAGATTTATGAACGTAATCACCTTGATAAGGTGTTACTGATGATTTAGAAATATTATCCCTGTTAATTGATTTCGTTTCGTTATTAGGAACTATTTGTTCTCTCTTTGCCTGAGCTACGATGAGATCCAAATGCTGTTGTAACTTATCAATCAGACTTTGATAATCAAAGTGTTCTTTACCCTCGATATGACTGACCACATTATTTCTATCCAAAGATTTTGCCGTATCACCGATATCGCCTTGCATGTTCAGGTACTTTTGCAACATATCAGCTAAAACTTTAACCTCGGCATCTTCCTTAGCTGTCCTCCTACGACTAACAGGACTGTAAGGTGCGCTACCACCACTATCGGATGCCAAAAAAAAGTCTCTCTTTGCTTTGGCCAAATCAAACTTGCCAACAGTTGTAGTCTGAAGGACGAATCCTTGAGGAGGATTCCTAATCTCGTCGGCTTCGTCAGCTGAGCTAGCTTTAGCTCTACAGCTACCGCCTTTAACGTGTCTACGTCTTCTCTGAGTACGAAAACCTAAAGTACCAGGATAAGAAGCTTTCCTCCAAAGTAGAAACTTTGGTTCCTTTTGACAGACTTCTTGAAAATATTGTTCGATCTTGGGTATATCCTCGGTACGATTGTGAGCACCATCGGGTATCAAACGTCTTCCAGCATCAGCCATATATCTCCAAGTTTTCCTAGTCAATAGCCATCTTTCTTTAGATGGTTTATTAGCACGTTTAGTCCTACGATCCTTGGAGGCCGGTGGTGTACCACGCAAAGAACTTCCGGCCTCCATGCTGTCGCGACGCGAGCGTCTCCTACCGCCAGGACGCTCAGCCATCGTCGCGTCTTTCTCCTTCTTCGCCACACGAACCACTTTCGCAAATATATCTTCTCTTCGTGGTTTATCAACGTGATTAGATCTCAATAGACGACCAATTGCCAATCGTCAGGTACAAGTCGTCAACACTAAATTATTATAAGACGTAACACTTGAAGAAACTTTTACTCCTTTTACTTTCAACTAACTATTAAACGAAAGTGGAAGAAGAAGACACATTCGAGCAAGGGGGAAGGGGGGAAAAACAAGAGAACTCTTTTTGACACTTCACTTGATCCACTTCAAGCATTTAAAGAGATTAAAACCTGACAAACCTAAAGAATCCTATTCCCATCGAATCCCAAGATTTCTCAACGACGTTTTATCGTCGAAAACGGAATGATTAATCTCAAATAATACACCATTAACCTCTAGAAGAAAAAAGGCCATTAACCACTTAGATCAATGCAACAACAACGCAATAATAATCAGTCGCCTCAGAAAATTCCTTTGCTATTTGGATCAAATATCCCTCGAATATATTTTCCTCGCTCTCTTTAACGAGGCTCGACCCAAATTTAACTTTTATCGTCAAGAATCGCGGGTATTTTGACCTGGAAACACTGTACATCACGGAAGATCTATATAATCCCTTTTGTTCTTTGATGAATCCTATAAAGATTAACCAAGCAAATTCCTTTAGCTTTTCTAAGGAATTTGAAATAGTAATTTTCAAGAAACGATGTTTAAGAGAATCGCGAGCCGGCAAGGTGGAAGCTGCCCAAGGTACGCGACTACTGCTCCTCAGGGCGTCGCGACGCTCGTGGACGCTCCGTGTCTAAAAACGTATCTGGCCCTCTTCACTCTTCCTCCACTGACTTCTTCTCTCTCTCTCTCTCTCTCTCTCTCTCTCTCTCTTTCTCTCATCTTATTGCGTGAGTGAAAGAAAGAGAGAGAGAGAGAGAGAGACGATGAAGTGAGTAAGAGAAGAACAGAGAAGAACAGAGAGAAAGAGAGAGAGAGAAAGAGAAAAACAGAGAGAGAGAGAGAGAGAGAGAGAGAAAGAGATAGAGAACAAGCTAGCCGAAAAAGAGGAAGGGAGATGCAAAGACGACGGCTGATGAAGCAGACCAAGGAAGAGGCTTCTTGAGTGGCTAGAGTAGTCTAGAAAAACCTGGGACGGACACGGCAGACTAACCGGAGATGATGCCGTCTGTAGTTGTCATCCTTTGGCAAAAATACACATGATGGCGCCTTCTGTCGATGATTCGACACATATCAAAAGACTTTATCCATTTCTTTTTTCAACGATTGATAGGAGAAAAACATTTCAAATACTTTACGTATATCAAATTCTTCAGATATCAATGATCATATTGATCATAATTATTTCATCGGAAAAAAAAAAAGAAAAAAAAAACAAATATCTTACAGTCGAGATAAACAAACAAAAGTATAGTTCATAATCAACGTGGCTACTCTATTAGTGGGACCTAATAGAGCGTTTAAAGATCCTCGTAAGTGGTGGCAAAGAAGTTGTCATCACTTGCCAAATAATATGGCATGTTTTAAACGGACTGGACCGTATCTAAGAGGATATACTTTATCATTGTCGAATGAATACTTTGAGAAGATTCATCTTAGACTGATATCGAATAAACTCTTCTCTATCTCGAGTTTTTCATATTCTCTCTCTCTCTCTCTCTCTCTCTCTCTCTCTCTCTCTCTCTCTGTTCCTCTCTTTTCGAACATTTCTTTACACAAAATTATCCTGCACAAATATTGTGATATCAGTTAATTATATAGTTCTATGAATGATAAAGTTATATCAATGATTGTAACTATTAATCTCAGCAGTCTTAATTCGATCTCTTGTAAATATATGTATGTATGTATGTATGTATGTATGTATGTATGTATGTATGTATGTATGTATGTATGTATGTATGTATGTATGTATGTATGTATGTATGTATGTATGTATGTATGTATGTATGTATGTATGTATGTATGTATGTATGTATGTATGTATGTATGTATGTATGTATGTATGTATGTATGTATGTATGTATATATATATTCGATTACTCTGACAAAAGATATACTTTTGATCTTGACATTGCATATTAAGCGAACAGAGGAAAAGTAGATATCTGCAGTGACATTTCATTAACTTAAAATAAAAAAAAGAGAGAGAGAGAGAGAGAGAGAGAGAGAGAGAAAGATTAGAGGAATCCTCTCCAATACTCTACTGTTGTGTTGCTGCTTTTAACTCTTCATTTTTTTTTTTCTTTTACAAAAAGTAACATCAAAGGTGACGCTAAGTTTATGTTTATCCAAACGTCAACGTAAAAAAGAATGACTTTCTCCATGTTACATACCTGAAAAACAACAACTAATTCATCACTCGACAATTTTAATCTACAATTTTTTTTTCTTTCTATCTTTCCTTCTCTCCTTCTTTACTTCCTTCCTTTTCTTCTTTACTCATTTCCTCTTTTTCTTTCTTTCTTTTTTTCTTTTTTTTTTTTTGTGTGAAATCTCCCAGAGAAGAAACCATAGACACACCCACCAGTCTATAAATCTTTTCAAACGAAATACACCATGTTCTAATGGTATGCGTAATAAACTCAACACGTGTTCTCATATAAAATTCTACAGTTGAACTGTTGAGTGTTACCCAATATGTATGTACGTACGTGTGCACGTTTCCTATTTCAAATTGTGTCCCACATTTCTTGAAGCCATCTTAATGACGTAGAACCATAAAAATTCATTACGATAGGATAGCCCAATATATACCCAGGGGGGAAAAAAAGAAAAGTATTATTTTCAGATTCTCATTCTTTGGTGCAACTAAATTGGACCACAGTGTTAGTTCACTCGGAAACGATCATCGTAAATCTTGAAAGAAATCTTTTGAGAATCTATTTTTCCTTTCTCTGTTTTCTTATTCTTTTTCTTTTTAATCTCATCCGAAACGATCACTCATTTACTTGGGTTAAATAAATCAAAAAAAAGAAAAAAAAAAAGAAAGAAAGAAATATATATATATATATAGAAATAAATAAATAATTGTCATTTGAAATTTAATTGTCATTATTTGAATTGGATTAACCTGATAACGAGATTTAACTCTTACGATTAAATGCAATCAAATTAGCAAGCATTGAGATCTAGATTATTCAGATGCCAATGAACCGGAACACGTCCATTATTGGAATGCCGTCTATCTGGAATAGATATCAGCCAAAATAGCACGTGCAGGTCATAACCTCTTGACAATGCCACCCTAAATCTAGACTTTCTCGATAAAGATTCCAACTCCACTGGGAATGACCTAAAGTAACCTTTTCGTAAATTCGAATATATCAAGTTTATATTTGAAATATAATCCAACATGGAGTTCAATTTTTAGATTAATTAACGACGGGCTATGTACTATTAAAAAATCCTGGATTCTAAATTCAACATTATTTTCGTCCAATATGATTAATGTATGACTTTTTTCGCAAGCAATTATAAAATTTCATAATTAATATTCTTAATTCTCAAAACAAATTGAAAAAAAAAAAGAAAAGAAAAATCATCGAATTAACAAATGTTATGACTCATTAATGATGGAATTTGTAAAAGAAAAACAGAAAAAAAGAAACACACACGCATTAGATTAAACGGTCTCAAAAATGGATAATTGAATTTTTAAGATCAATTCAAATATATTTGAATTGTTTTGTAAAAAATCTAACAAGTATACGTTGATAAAAATTTATTGTAATAAAATTCTAAAACTTGGAAAGAGCAAAACCAAGGAAAATACTAAAACTATTTTTATCAGAAAAGATTTCTCTCTCTCCCTCTCTCTCTCTCTCTCTCTCTCTCTCTCTCTCTCTCTCTCTCACTCTAAATTGTATGCCGAGGTGTCTGCCATAATAAGTCTTATCAGAATAAACTTTTCAGAAACTTTTTGAATATTTATGAACATGTACGATACATTTATGAAACAAGTTCAACTTATTGAACTAAACAACAAACTCTAACTAAAACACTAATAAATAAAATAGAATCGAATATTCGTCAAGTCGAATTACAATGAAATAAAGAAATAAAAATAGTATCGAGAATTTTTTTTTTCTTTTGTATCCTTAATTACAAAAGAGATTTAGAGAGTCCCTTAAAGAGATTTTTTTGTCCGCGAATTTTTCACACAATTTAGAAACAAAACAAGTCTAAGCATAATCCCATTGATCATTGGAAAAGTCAATTACGATTCGATATGATTAGAATGAAGAATGGACATTAGAAAATTTTTGATATCGAAATAATTCTTTTTAGACTATTTTCCTTTTCTTTCTTTTTTTTTTTATATTTATTTATTTATTCCTTTTCTTTTCTTTTTTTTTTTTTCTTTTTATTTTTTGTTTCTCCCCAAGAGAAAACTTTGATGAATACTTCGTTAAGTAGATATCACGTTCTTTTCGGAAAATAAAATTGTTTCTCTCTCTCTCTCTCTCTCTTTCTCTCTCTCTTTCTCTCTTTCTCTCTCTCTCTTTTCTTCTCTCTCTTTCTGAGAATAGAAATAATATTTTTTTTCTTTTTATAATTCAACGAACGTAATTCGACAAAAAGAAAAACAAATAAATAAATAAATAAATAAATAAATATTGTTCGAAAGATAAAGAATTCTAAGAGCAAAATGTTAAAAGTTATAATTTTCATTCTGGGGTACATAAGATGATAATGCGCTGAAACAACGACGTTATATCGGGCATATAATGAAGTTTGCCACGTGCTAAGATCAACATCTGTTTGAATACGCCTACGATCTACATTATTCAGATTCTTAACATATGCGATCGGCTCAATCTTCTCACCTACGATATATATATATATATATATATATATATATATATACATACATATATATATATATGTATATATATAAAAATATATATATCTAAATTTAATATTATAAATCAATATTCGAGTTTTTGCTTAGCTGACATTATCTATTCGCATGTGAAAAGAGATTTCGTTTAATCCATAAAGGAAAAGAAAAAAAAAAAAAAAAAAAAAGAAAAAGAAAGAAAAGAAGAAAAAAAAGAGAAATGAAAAAAGAAAAGACCTGATGCGCATCAGTTTCTATACTAAGTAAATTCTACATACAAGCAACTAATAGAAATATATCCAAGTTTAATTCAACGATGATGGATTTAGGTGGACTAAAAACGTGCCGCGTTGTCATCGTACGAGATTTAACGATCGATCGATCGAAAAACGTACTTACGTATGTACAAATATTTTCTTAATAACCCTGACGGTCGTTCGGTCACGTATCACTTCGAGTTATTTCCAATAGTATTCTAATATATGAATAATAATAAAAAAGATAATGTTTCTTCCTTTTCTTTTTTTCTTTTCATTTTACAAAACGAACAAAAACAATTCCTCTTCGAGAACATCTTTTTCTTTTTTTTCTTTTTCTTTTTTCTTTTTTCTTTTTTCTTTTTTTCTTCCTTTTCATGCTAATTAATCTTTACGGATTTTTAAAGTTATTACTAGTTGTTAGTTTAGGAATTCATATTTTTGTAATCTAAAAAAAAAAAAAGAGAGAAAAAAAAAACAAACAAAATTAGACTAAAAATACTGGAAAAAGTGCGATTTCATTTCTAATATCACCTAAGAACTTTTGACCCGTCCTGCTTTTTTCATTTCTTTTTGAAAAAGTAATCAAATTATTTCCCTTTTTATCTCTCTCTCTCTCTCTCTCTCTCTCTCTCTCTCTATCTATCTATCTATCTATCTCTCTCCCTT